TAAAACCTTCATATATATATATATATATATATATATATATCTAGTAGGGATTAGACTTTTAACTGAGTTTAGCTACTGATATTTATTGAACTAAACATGAGAGCAACTGAGTACAAAAGGTTAAGCATGATAATCAACAAAAGGTTAGAAGACAGAAAGGTAAGAGTAGCAGCAAGGCAGGTTTTGTCTGCTTCACTTGGGACAGTTTACTTCGTCACTTGCCCAAGTGACAGTCTGCGCTTCTACTGCAGCTGCTACTCTATTTTCTACCTAACTAACTTAACTAACTACACTGTTTTTTATCTGATTCTAACTTCTCAATCCTTGTTGTTTTTTAACTGCCATTGGTTGACTATTTATAGAGATCTTGAGAAGCTTGGATTGGTTGAGATTCTATCTCCTTCTCTGCAGTAGATAGGGGAAGTGGCAACTTGCAGCAGCTGAAGGTTCGTTTATTCAGCAACTTGCCAATTGGCAAGTTGTTGTTCTTTTCTTTGGTTGCTCCTTTTCTTCAGCAGTCACCAGTCACCTTTTTCTCATCATTGCTTCTTCTTTTTAGTCTTCTTCTCCGGCACCTCTTCACCAATTTTAGCCACAAATCTCTCTTTCTTAATTCTTTAATTTTCAGCAGCACAACTAGCAGAGGTGACAAGCGGCAGCATTAGCAGCATGCTTCTTCTCATCATTATGTTCGAGCCTCCAATTTTAGCCTTCAATCTTCTGCTCTTTTTTTTCCTTGTCTCCCGGGATCATTTGCAGCACCATTTATCTCCTCCTGCAGTAGCTATTCTTTCACTTCAATCAGCAGCAGCAGCAGGTGGCAAGTAGCAGAGTTGCAGCTGTCTTCCTCTTCATATTCTTCCTCTTTTTCTTATTCCACTTGCTGCATCAGCAACTTGCAGTGATGGTGAAGCAATTCCTTTCTTTGGTAGCAAGATTTCGGCCTTGGTCTTCTTCCCTGATTCACAGCAGCAACAAGAGCAGCATCACCGCAACATCACCAACAACACTTGAGATGCTGCACTTTCTTTTTCCTCTCATGGATTCCTGATGCAGAATTCAGCAACTTGTGATCAAGTTGTAGCTGTTCTTCCATCATCAGCACAGCTTCCTTCCTTGGTTCAGCTCCAAACCATCCTTCCGGCATTGATTTCCAGCAACTTCCAATTTGGTCCCTTTTTTTAATGCTCTTTTGTGCAATTTGGCCCCATTTTATGCTGATGTTTCACATTAGCTCTCTGATCAGCCTGAAATACAAAATTGACCCAAAATTAAATTAATTCTAACTAATTGACTCCTAATTCTAAGTAAAAATGAGTAGAAAATGATTCCGAAAAGGGGTATAAGTTAATTGTTATCAACGAGACCCTACGCTACTTCATTGCTAGAAAATCCCCAAATTGAGACACTTTAAAATGCATTCTATTCTATAATATTGAGGAACTTTGACTAAAGAGAACTTTGGACATGTGTCTTGTATTCCAATGTGACAATAGGTCTTGAATTATTTAGACACTTTTAAGTATCTTTATAATATACTTATAATGAATTTTACAAATATTTAATATTCCAACTTTGGACATCTAACAAAATTTAAATATGGGATTGGTGGAAATTTAAATAGATGTTTGACTATCAAAAAAAAAAAATTACCATTGGAATAAAAATTTATGTTCTTTTTAAAAACCAATTATTATTATTATTATTATTATTATTATTATTAGTTCCTTTTTAAGGCTATATTTGCACAAAATAAATAAAAAATAAAAAGAAATTGAACGACAATATAAAATGTGAAGTGGACTTTAATATTGAGGCTTGTAATATAATAAAATTTTGTACTATTAAACATCAATTTGTACATTCAAAGGTTCTAAAACTTCTAAGATGTAACCTAAAAAGTATATCTCCTATTACATAATTTTTTTTTGAAACAAAAATCAATAGCACTTATAGTTTAACTCCTTTGGCCTTCTCTTTAACTTGAGGCGTTCACTTCTTTTTACCTTGGGACTTTGATCCATGATTACACCTCTCCATTTGTCACATGTATTCATGTGGCTGTCCTTGAATTTGGCTTTTCTGCTTTCAAGGTTTTGTATCACTCCAATATATCTTCATTCTTATATGTGGTTCTCCTTCATAAGACAAACCAATGTGTTCTAGGCTATGTTTTACAACGGTATCCCATATTCATCACATCTAATACTAAAAAAAAAAAGAGAAGGAAAATGAAGTCAATTAAAATTACCCATGCTCAAGTGTATAAAGTCTAGTTACCTATCTCTAATCTACATGAGCACAATTAAACCAGGACAAATCAAAGAATCAAAATCAGGCCATGGCATATTAGAAGAAAATGACATCTCAACATTTATTTATCTCACCTTTCTAAAGACAATTGGGGGAGAACGAATCCCAAAACCTATATTTTACAAACCATGGCAATGAGAAAACACAAAACAAATTCAGAAAAGATCTTCACCCCAACGCCTTCAGATTCCACCGGTGGTGTAGATTGAGTCGGAAAGAGTATTTCCACAAAAAAGAAAAATAATAAAATGAACACCTAATAAAGCAGTGATTAATTTTATACAATGGCCGAAGCTTTGTGGGGCAGGAGTATTGTATTTAAGTTGAAACTGTATAGTAGAAATGAGAGAAATTGTAGGAGAGTGGAGGACATGGTGGACAATGATAACTACAAGTAATTCTTTCAAAAGAAAAAAAAAAAGAAAGACGATTGTTATTTGTAATTAATTGGGAAAATTTGGCTAAAGGACAATATAACATGTCAAATTAATAAAAGGGATATGACCAAAAAGTATTTTTTATGAAGGGCAGTAACTTATTTGTCAAAAATCACAAAATAAAAAATATTTTGAATTAATAATATCATCCTTATAATTTCTTAAACAAAATTAAAAAGAAAAGAAAGTTCTCCACATTCTTTTGGTACCTTATCTCAAAATTTGGTGGCTGAATCAGCTCTTTTTTGTCCCCCCTGAAGAATCAGGTGTTTTTTTAATTTCCATTTCAGCAGAGTTGTTAGGTAATTGAACTAGAGGACCATGATTTTCATTTTTCTCCAAGGGCGGTTGCTCCTCCAATAGCTCGTCACGTCTCTTACATTTATAGGATCCATGTGAATCTATAATCCTTACGTTTGTCTTCAAAATATTTGCAAGAGGTGATGGTGATGTTGGAAATATTTTCAGCCTGTCATTGATGCATTTGCCAGCAACACTCATCAAGGTCCCATACACACCCCAAGAGTCATGTCTTTTAATCTCGTTTTTCTGCGTTTCGAGCAGTATCTCTGGCTCTAAAAGTCTTAGAGATATGTCTACAAGTTCGGCAATATAAGGAGGCGAACCACATTTGGTCCAAGGGCAGCTAATCCTTGAATTAGTACCATAGTGTTGTGGTAGCAAGCATGATGATCACGTATTACCATTTGACAGAACGTAACATGGAAATTTATATTATCTTCTCATTCCTATAATGAAAAATCCATTATCTGTTGAATGTTTGGCATGCTGTATTCACACTAATTCTAATAAGAGGTAATGCATGAGATTGCAATTTGTGAAGACACGTCTATTTCAAAAGAACAGGAAAAGAGGGAGACACAAAGAGAGCAAGACAACAGTTTCAGTGTACTCAAAAATAAAAATAAAAATAAAATCATATAACAGACACGTGATGCAAAACAGCATCAGAGTTTGACAACCTAATATAATATTCACAGGCATTACCCAATTCTATCCCCTAAACAACATGAGATCATGTTACTAACTCCTCCCACTTATCGAAACCACAAGAAAAATGCGTACAAAGTAAAAATCTACCTGTTCCGCCACCTCATAATTGAACTAAATAAATGGGCTCATAACTAGTTGAAGAAATCTGCACCATGTCATAAATGAAGTCTCTTCTGTATTCCTTTTTCAAGAAAACAAGTAGCGAATATAAATGGAAGAACTCTTCTGTATGTGAGCACCATTCCATCTTCGGAAAAAATGTATAACCAGCACTAAGTTTAAGAAAGTTGAATCAATGATTTGATTTGAAAAGAATGTAACAAACAAAATTCTTCAAATCAATGGAGCGGAAGTCCTTTTTCTTCTTTTCCAAATAAGAACTCAAATTTGTTTTGTCATCATCCTACTAAGACATCACCGTCATCATCAGAATTTATCCATCATCATCAAATCTAAGTTTCACGAAAAAAAAATCATCATCGAATCACGAACAGAAAGATTAAAGTTCACCTCGTCAATCTATCAATTTCTATTAAACCGATTTAGGATTTTATATTTGTTTGTTGTGTAAGAAATTATAAGGGACATAATGTCCATTCACATTATCTTTTATTTTGGGATCTTTTGATAAATAAATTACTGCCCTTCATAAAAGATCTTTTTTTAGTCATACCCTTTTTATTAATTTGACCTGTTCTATCGCCGTTTAACCAAATTTTTCCTAATTAATTGGAGTTAAAAAAAGATAACTACGTATAATGATTTTTTAAGTACTGAAAAATAGGCCACAAGTATTTTAACTTGTCATTCAAGTCAAATGCTTTAAAAATATATTTTTAAGCACTTCTTTTTTTGAAAATATATCTTTAAAATTTCAATCAAAAAGTCCCATAAGTATTTTCCATGCAACAAAATGCCTTAATTATAATGGATTGTGACTTTTAAAAATTAATGCCTTAAAATTTTTTTCTTGAAGTTTCATAAAAAACTTGTTTTCTAGTATTGAGTCATTGGTCAAAGTTGTTTGACTAGGGTAGATGGAATGGCTAAACGAAAAATTGTTTAGGCCCCAGTGAATCCAACTTGACCACAACTCTGGTTCGGTTTTCAGTTTTAAAAAATCCAATTTGATTTAATTCGATTCCGAAAGGTAATCGTATCTTGGATGGGGTGTATAAATATGCCGGCAGAAAACAGACCCATTTGCTTTCTTTCATGAACTAGGTCGAATCTGCAATGGCTAAGCGTGGGACTAGGGCTGATTGGAGTAATCTTGTACCTGAATTATTGGACGTAATCTTAGAAAAATTGTTTCATAATCCGGATTACATCCGATTTGGGGCGGTCTGCAAATCATGGCGTCTAGTGGCTCTCCTACAAAAACAAAAGCGAATCGCAAATATCTCTAAACAGTCGCCAATACGCTGGGTATTGTGCCCTAGCGACGACTCAGAAACATATGGTCAATTCTTGAAGGAGGGTTTCTTCAAAGCCAGAAGTCATCTCAGACTATACAACGTCGGCGAAGACAAATCCTACGAATTAAATCTCCTCCAACTTCTTGCCAGCCCTGAGGATGATGATGAAATCAATGATGAATCCGAGGTCACATGGTATGGTTCCTCGTGTGGGTGGCTGGCCTTACAGACCAAGGATTTATCGGAACCCATCAGAGTCGTTAATCCATTCATCCGAAAGTGTATAAAAGTCCCGCCGGTTCCAGACGACAACGTGGACAAAAGGATCATTGTGTGTAACGATCCTACCACGTCTCCAGATAAGCTTGTCATCGTCGCAATCTTAAACTCAGAACGAGTCGCAATTATCACTGCCGGGGAAACATCTTGGACCATAGGGAACATCGGCGTTGAGGAAGAAGGAGGCACAAGTTTCCTACATTATTCAGACATAATATTTCACAAGGGATTGTTGTACGTGGTGGATCATTGCGACCGGCTTTTCGTCATCGACTACAACGACACGCGCACCGCCGGCCACTTTCCGACCATCCCAGTCGTGTCAAAAAAGGCTCGCAATTTCGATATTTCAATCGCCCTGCCGTTGGTATGGAATTATTTGGCAGAGTCATCAAGCGGAGATCTTCTCCTTGTGCAAGAGGATTATAAAAAGTCGGGTTATGAGACTTACAAGCTTGAAAACTACAAGAAAGAAAACATAACGTCACATGGGGAGAAAGAGGATATGGAGGAGGCCAATTGGGTAAAAGTGTCCAAGTTTAAGGAACATGATACTATAAGCACCGATTTCCATGATACCGTGATTGTCCCCTTTGGTACCACATTTTGCATCCCAGATTGCAATCCAGATTGGTTGTTGTGGGATACAAGCATCAGTCTTGATGAAGGTTTAAATGGTCCCAACAAAGACTTTATCTATCCATTAGATTGGTTATCTCCACAATTATACTGAAATCACGTAGAAAGAAAGGAAGGCAAAACATTGATGCCAGAATAAATCTTTTTTTTCTTTCCCCGCACTGGGCAGCGCTATTATGTATTTTCTGTTAATAAGTTTCTTCACGTGGGGTTTAATTAATGCATGTCTTTTGATGATGATCTAAACTCTGTGTTGTGTATTCCTATATTTTATTTTGGAATTTTTCTTTTTTTTTTACAAAGAGAGATGCATAAAGCACAATGACCAATTATTATATTTCAAGGATATGAAACCTCCAATACATCGTGATAAAGCCATGCTTTAGCTCCTTCTTGAAGAGTCTCAAACCATTGTAAATCTCCCGATCCTTGTGCTGCTAACGAAGCTAGGAAATCAACAACGAAATTTGTCTCCCGAAACACATGCTTTGTCTCTACAACCCAATCTCTTTTCAGAAGATGTCGGATTCCATTAACTATCACCAGCTATATCCTTCATGCCCTGTACCATGTATATGATACTTAGATTGTCAGCTTCTGCACCTATTTTTCGGCCTCCAAACTCCCATGTCAACGTAAGACCCCATAATTCTGCCCCCTAATAGTACAAAAACCAATATTCATGGTGAAAACTCTCAACCATTTCCCATGATAGTCCCTCACAACTACGCCTTTAGAAGCCATGCCCGTCTCTCAATTGAAACTTCCATCTGAATTGATTTTGAGCCAATCCAATGGGGGGAGGTAACCAATGTATCAATCTCGTCTCCCATGCTCGTGTCCCACCAATCTTCTTTGCTCCCACAGAAGCATTGACAATACTATCCACTTGGTTCTCTACCTCCCTCACGCGAACAGCTGCAGGGCTATCAGTTCCTTAAAAAATGCGTGCACTACGCCAAGACCAAATCCTCCAACTCGTCACTCCAAACATACAACTCCAGTTCGCCTGTCACCATCTCCACTACATCTAATATTTTTCCATATCCAGTCCCATATATTAGCTGAGAAAAACCTCAATTTCATCTGCATCGGCACCATTTTATACCAGACTCGCTTTGCACCCGAGGAATCAAGTAAGGCATGTAGGACACTTTCTCGGCTTCCTCCACAGAATCAACAAGTCGAATTATCATTCATATGACTCCTACAACGCTCATTTTTTGTCAGCAAATTTCTCCGAGCCGCAAGCCAAAGGAATTGTCTTACTATCTGGGGGCCAATCCACTTCCAAATCGACCTCTATAACTGTAGATCATCGCTTGTTGATTGTTGAGCTAGTAAAGAATATGTCGATTTAGTAGTGGAAGGACCATCACAGGAATACCCCTAATGCATTTTATCTTCACCATCCACCACCGACGGGGGTGCAACCGCCGCCAAATGCATCAGGAAAGTCGCGGGGAGAAGATACTGAAATGCCTTCCAATTCTATGCTCCACCCACCACATAATGAGCCACAGTTAAGTGCACTTGACTTTCAGGAATTGGGCGCCTCACAACATTAATTAATGTTTCTTTCGTGCCAAGGCAACGATCCAGGCAAAATATCACCTTACAACCATTCCCCATAGACCAGTAGATTCCACCAACAACGTCGCTCCAAACTCCCTTCAACGCAGATACATTCACTGAACCCCGCAGAAAGCAATAATCCGCATCCATCTCCTCTGGGTTAAACCCATATTTTGCTTTCAACACTCATACCCATAGTGCTTCCGGTCTCGTTATAAGTCCCCAGCCCATATTCATCAAGAGTGCTTTATTCATAACGCGCTGTTCTTTCAGTCCGAGACCGGCATCTTCTCGTGACAGGCATAAAAGATTCCCTGGAATCCACTTTTTATGCCCGTCTATTCTACCCCAAATGAAATTACGACATTTTCAATCAATTTCATCACAAACAAAAACAGGAAGTGGCGATGTCTGCATTGAATAGTATGGAAGACAGCTCAACACGGATTGAACTTGTAAATGTGTGAATAATTGTATAGTTATTCTATAGTTTTCATATTGTATAGTTTGCATAGGGGTTGATTTGTACATATGTTGAATTAGTGAGGTTAACAGTTGTAATTACAGGATAGTATAGACTTGTATATTTATAGTCTTATATTTCCATCTGTACAGGAGAGAGAAATACAGTGTAAATATACCATTTTGAAAAATCGATTTCCAGCATTCAAGAACTCTCGTTCTTCTCTGTTTTTTCATCTTTGTCTTCCAAAATTTTAGATCCAAACTTATAGATAGTATCAGAGCAGGATTAGATCCTGCTCAGAACCAGGCTATGAATCGATTGATCGGAGCAATTTCTCGGCGGTTGAACAGAATCAGAAACCCTAAGTTTCGCGATTTCAGTAGAAAATGGAGCTAAATCGTGACGGAGAATGCAGGAATGGTGACCGGAGAGATGACGGAGCTTATGCAAACTACGGAGGAGGATACATCCATCCGCTGTTTATGCATCCGTCAGACAATTCATCGATGGCGGTTGTTTCGAACGAATAGACATATCTGAATTTCATTTCATGGAGTCACAACATGAAGAGCTTCCTAGGAACACAGAATAAACTCGGTTTCATCATTGGAAGTGTGGGTGAACCTATAGAAGGACATCCAGATCGTGAGAAGTGACATAGGGTAAACGGTACTGTTGTATCATGGATTCTGAACTCGATTTCTGAGGAGCTGGTGGACAATTATGATTTGGCTACAAATGCAAAGGATTTGTGGGATGAATTACAGGAGCACTACGGTACTACAAATGGACCACAGATTTATCATCTAAGGCGGTGATCATGGATCCACTACCAATTGTTAAGAAAGCGTATTCAATGGTTGTCAATGTGGAGAAGCAATAGATAGTCAACCGGAAATTTGTTGAACCAGTGGAACAAAGTGTCATGATGATACAAAAGAAACCAGTTAATATAGGAAGTGTAGGAATTGGAAATGCATGAAATAGAGGAAATACATTAAATGCAGCTGGTTATAAGCCTGGGAAATACTGGTTTACTTCTAATTTAGGGAAGGATAACAATTTCAGGTTTGATAAAGCATTGAAGAAACTGATGAAGTGTGACAATTATGAAGGCAAAGGGCACCTCAAAGAAGGTTTTTTCAAGCTTATCGGCTACCCTGAATGGTGGGAAGGACTTAAAGAGAGGAAGAAAGCAGAAGCTGCTGGCAGAACTGTGGCAAATCTTGCAAAGATGCCTTTTGATCAAGAACCAGGATTACAGGCAAATAGTGAGAATATGATGGCAATGATGAGGTTTATGCAACACGAAATGTCAAATATGATGAAAGGAAAATCAGTGGGAAAGGAAGGTGATCAAATCAACTTTGCACATTTCCCTGAGTTTGCAGGTATGGCCACTTTTCAAGCATTACGTGCTCTTAATTTGACTGAGAAAGAGTTAGCATTGCTTTGGTTCTTAGATACTGGTGCTACAGGACATATGGTTGCGTTCTTTAAACTTTTATCTTGTTTTGATCAGTTACTCAATTCACACTAGTTGCATTACCTGATGGTAGTTTTAAAGGGGTAGAACATATAGGAACTGTCAAGCTTTCTAATACCTTAGAACTCCCTGAATGCTTGCATGTTCCTTCTTTTTGATATAACCTTCTCTCAGTAAATAAAATAGCCGTCTCCTCCAAGATTGATTGTTTTTTTTCCACTTCTTTCTGTCTGCTATAGGACCAAGCCACTAGAAAGCTGGTTGCTGTAGGCAAAGTTTTGCACAGGCTATACATTCTAGATTCGACATCCTTTTCAGATACTACTATCAACCTCTTCATCAAAGATCATGTCAACCATCCTTTCATTGTTCAACCGACTTCCACAGTTTCACACCACTCCAACCTAGCAGTTGAGAATTCTACGCAAAAATGGCATATGAGATTAGGGCATGTGCCAGATTTAGTACTTAGCAAGTTAGGCTTATCTTCCGGAAATAAGTCTGATCAAGACATATGTACCTTTTGTCCATTGTCTAAACAACACATACTAGAATTTCCATCCAGTTGTATTCAAACCATTTCTATTTTTGACTTGATTCATATTGACTTTTTGGGGACCTTATAAAACCAAACCCTTGAATGGTGCATTTTATTTCCTTACTATAGTTGATGACTATAGTAGACGTACCTGGACCTTCCTTATGAATAATAAAACTCAAACAGCTGACATTCTCAGAAATTTCTTCATCATGATTCGAACCCAATTCCAAATTTCAGTTAAAGCAGTACGATCTGATAACGGGATAGAATTCACATCGGGTGACTGTCAATCATTGTTTACTAGTCTTGGAATTCTACACCAAAAGACCTGTGTTTACACTCCAACAATAAAATGGTGTTGTGGAGAGAAAACACAAACATCTCTTGCAAATTGCCAGGTCTCTTCTATTCTAATCTGGCTTACCGAAAATGTTTTCGGGGGACTCGATTCTCACTGCCACATATTTGACAAATCGACTTCCAACATCTGTTTTGAGTTGGAAGTCGCCATATGAAGTTTTATTCCCAATAATTCCAGACTCAAATCATCTTAGATTGGTTGTCTGTGTTTTGCAACTAACACTTTCCCTCACAAAGACAATTTTGACCCTAGAGCACATAGGTGTGTGTTTTTAGGATATCCAGTAGGACAAAAAACATACAAACTGTATGACTTAGATTCTAAAAAAGTCATTATTTCCCGGGATGTGGTCTTTCATGAATCTATTTTCTCGTATTTGAATTCACCAGATTCCAAAGATCCTATTTCAGCCCCTTATCTATCTTTTCCAGATGAACAAAATCATTGGTTTGAGCCTTCTATTTTGCCCCAAACAGTTTCTCCTCATGATCCTCAACTTAATGCTGATCCCATTGTAGAAAATCCACCTCTCACTGCTTCTCCTAGGATTGATCAATTTCATTCTTGTCAAACTGATCATGGTCATTCTCTATCATCTCAACCTAATCCTACTCCCTCTGGCAATCAAGAACCTCTTAGAAGAAACACTAGATCCATTAAACCAC